GCCCATCTCGACCTGCTCACAGCCGCACTTTCTGGAGCTCCCCAAGGCTGCTGAGCGGCAGTGCCGGAGCCCGTGGTCCGTGTGGAAGAGTGCTCCGAGTATCTGCTGTGGTTTGACAGTGCTCCCCGAGATGCCGGGTTGGGAAACTTCTCCAAATCCATCAGCCAGTGGGAGCTGGAGGCAGGGCCTCACGAAGCTCATTTACGGTGGCCCAGGTCTCCCGGTGACTTCCCAGTGACAGATGCCACCCGCTGGGTCTCACCCGGTGACGCCCTCTGCCACGCTTAGGAGCAGAGAGCGGGGCCTCGCCAGATGCCAAGCGCACACTGGCACCATGCTCTGGGCTGCAGCTGCCAGCACGTCGAGCACAGACAGTGCTGCCCCTTCTAAATGCCCTCATTTCAGCGATTCGGGGATAGCAACAGGAGACGGCCCAAGACAACGCAGAAAACAAATTCAGCCCTCTTTTGCAGTACTAAGGGATGAACTCAAGTGTTCACCTTGACTCACCCTTTCTTATTTTTCTTTGGAAACAGCATCTTGCTAAATTATACAAGTTGAGCCCAAACTTGCAATTGTCCTGCCTCAGCCTCCTAGAGTGCTGGGATTAAGTGTATGTCACCGTGTCCAGCCCCCCCAGCTGAAGACTGAACCCAGGGCCTTGCATATGCTAAGCAAGCTTGCACCACTGGACTACAGCCTCAGACTTTTTTTCAATTTTTTATTTTGAGACAGGCTCTTGCTACATTGCCCAGGCTGGTCTTGAATGTGTGATCCTCCTGCCTCAGCCTCCTGAGAAGGTGGTGGCATGTGCCACCACACACAGTAGAATTTATTGTATTTATCACACCAACTGTAAATTCTGTTTCATTTCAGCAAATATCAGTTCCCCCATCACCCAGCCAAGGGAGAAACGTCCCCCCTGACTCCCTTTTCCTCTCTCCCCCCAGTGCCATTAACACTCTTTCTGCCCCACGCATCCACTCGTGCTTGGTCCCTCTTCACCCCTCCTACACCTCCTTCAAGCTCCAGACTCCGGAGGCTTGGTCGCAGCTGCTGTTGGACTGCTCTCCGCCATCCTCGCTCCAGCCTCTCCACGCTCTTCCCACACATCCCGCCACAGCCTTTCCAAAACAGGGGCAAGACCAGATTATGTTCCCCTGTCCAAGACACCACGGTTCCACACTAGTTCCTCAGGATTCTTCAAACTCTGGCCGCACCCTCCGAGAGCTCCTGTCCCTCCGAACAGAGGGGGCTCAGCAGAGCGGTTAAGGATGCAAGCGGCACGGCCCAGTTGTGTCTCTGCCAGCTCCTGCCTGGGCCAAGTCCTCAACCTCCCTGTGCCTCATTTTCTTTGTCTGGAAAATGGGAACAATGGTGGCTATTTTAACCTAAATCGTTGGTTGCCTTTATTGCCAAATACTAAGAACGAAAAGACGTAACTGACACATTCAAAGCACTCAGTAAATAATGAGTAAGATTATTATCATCCAGCTGCAGCGCAGGCGTTAGTGTTCCGTGACTTTTGGCACCTTTTTCTCCATGCTGAGCCTCTCTGCCCCTTTCCTAGGGTGCTCAACGTCACAGTCTTCAACAGGTCACTCAAAAGTCACCGCCCCCTCCCCCAGGCAGCTAGTTACTCCTTCCCCTTGTGTGCTGGTCTAACAAATCTTCCTACAGTTACACTCCGCACAGAGTTGCATACAATTATTTATTAATTGAGACATAGCCCACTATGTAGTTCAGGCTGGCCTGGACTCACTAGGTAGTACAGGTGGGCCTCAAACTCAAGGTGATTCTCCTGCTTCAGTTTGCTGGGTGCTGGGATTGCAGGCGTGTGCCACCACACCCGGCTTTAAAACTGATTTGTACGTGTGTGCCTTTGCACATGTATGTCAGTATAAGTGGCATGAGATCTTTTCTTGTATGATATTTCAGCCCACTGTGCAGTTAGAGCTTTACTGTTCCATTTAATGGGAAATTCATGTCCCCCACACAATGTGGTACAGTACTTGCTTCTGGTTTGCACACTCTAAAAAAGTTGATGATACTAAAATAGCTTTGAGAATACTCTTAGTCCTTCACCTCTAGCTCACTCCTCTCATTGGTTTGAGGACATTAGTATCTGTCTTATCAATAGCAATTTGTGTGTGTTTGGTACTGGGCATTTAAGCCAGGAGTCCATTTTCATTTTTCATTCATTTCTTTTTTTTTTTTTTTGGTTTTTCTCCAGTACTGGGAACCGAACTCACAACCTTGCGCTTGCCAGGCAGGCGCTTTGCCGCTGAGCTAAATCCCCAGCCCCTTTCATTCCTTTCTTGACACAGGGTCTCGCTATGTAGCCCAAACTGGCCTTGAACTCACTATGTAGCGGAGGCTGACCTGGATCTCGCTGCACTCTTCCTGCCTCCTGAACACTGGGATTACAGGCATGCACCACCACGCCCAGCTTGAATTGTATACACTTTTCTATATTTGACTCCTACAACTGAAGTCTGAGCTGGCAGGATGAGGGCTGTGTCTCACTGGCTGGTATGATCCTCACCTGTTGCCCTACACAGTGCCTGGTTTAGAAGGCATTCACTACAGCTCTGCTGAACAAAAAGACCTCTGTCCCCAACCTCACAGGACCTAACAGACTTTGCTAGCAGTGCATTATTTCCTTGGCAGCCTCAGACCATGTCTTTCCCATCTTTGTGTCAAAGAAGCAAACACAAGCATACGCAGCAGACAGAACAAATGGACACAAATGTACCCCAGGATACACAGCTGCAGACAATCTGCTGGGGTCAGGGCTACGGGGACAAATTCAAATCTTTCCGTTTGTTTGATTGTGCATTTGGTTTTTGAGATAGGGTGTCACTGTGCAGTTAATGCCAGTCTTGAACTCACTATGTAGCAGAGGGTGGCCTCAAACTTGCAAGGATCCCCCTGCCTCAGCCTCCTAAATCCTGAGATTATACAGGCCAACATGCCTGGCTTTCAAAGCCTTCCTTTTAGAGTACTCTCTATGAGACTCTGAAAGGGAAGGACTAAATGAGAACATGTGAACTTGCCCATCAAACTGTTCATTGTAAGCCACCTGAGGAGAGCTACAAATCTTTTATAATTTGTGCTTGCAAAATCGTACTGATCTCAATCCTTGCCAGAGCTCAAGGCATTGTCAAGCAGAGTACAAGAGCTCTTTTCTTTCCAAATTCTTTTAAAGAGCCAGTACTTGTGATATGACCTTTCAGCACAGCATGTTTTAATGACGTATAGTTTTTTTTTTGAGACAAGAGTCTTGCTATGTGGTTCAGGCTGGCCCCGAGTTCCCTATGCAGCCCAGGCTGACCTCGAACTTGTGAATAATCCTGTCTCAGCCTCCCCAGGGCTGGCATTACAGGCCTGCACCACCACACTCAGCTAATTATTTATGGTTTTAATGTCATTCTTTATCAATGACTCAAAGTGTCTTTCAATTGTAGTAGAATTGTCTTTGACCTACAAGTGGTGAGGGACTAAAAGTCAAAAATTTGTAAGAACATTCCAGCAAGTGCACTATTTCTCATGCTAACGCACAGGTTCATTTTATATCTGTTTTTTGTTTTTGGTGTTTTTGTTTTGTTGTGTGGGTTTTTTTTTTGTTGTTGTTGTTGTTTTTCAGGCAGGATGTAAATATGTAGTTCAGGATGGCCTTGAACTCATTATGTATCCCAGGCTGGCCTCAAACTTGTGAATAATCCTCTTGCCTCAGCCTCCTGGGTGCTGGTATGATAGATGTGCACCACTTTGCCTGGTTGTACTGATTCAATTTTTTTAAAGTGTTTTGAATTAAAAATAATGTAGATGAGCTAGGCATGGTGTTATATACCTATAATCCCAGCACTTGGAAGGCTGAGGCAGGAGGATCACTGTGAGTTTGAGGCCAGCCTGGGCTACCCAGTGAGTCCAAGGCCAACCTGAAATATGAATATCTACTGATGTTAGAATATAGTGTAAATAGAAAAGTAGCTACAAAATAAAATCTTAATTTTTATAAAAATACAAATACATTACATATCCACATGAACATGTGATCTGAATGAACACAGACTAAGGATCTTTCTGGCTCTGTCATTACTGGAAGGCTCTAATTGGACCCGACTCTCCCAGCCCCCAACCTGCTTGCCAGCAGGAGCGCTACCGTCTGCAGGGAACTCAGCTCTCAGCAGGAAACTCAGCTCAGCGCCCGAGGCTGTGACCACAAGCACAGGAAAGGATTTAAAATAGGACAAGGGATTTTGCAGGTCCTGGGGACATCTGGAGACACCCCAAAATTTAGAAAAGTCACACAGGACACTTCAAGGACTCTGCCCACTGAGGTGCAAGACTGCCAGAGAACTTTGACAGGGCTCTTCCCACCTAATGTCCGCTGCCTTCTCTCCATCTCTGTAAAAGGGACAGACCTCTTTGTTCGGGGCAGAGAGTGTTAACGTCCTGTCGCCCTTCTGCCTGTGCCCGGGCCCAGCAAACCCCACACCACGCTGCCTTTACACAGCCCGGTGATCTTCGCTGGCTCCCCTTCCCCGTACGTTACAATTACAGGTCTTTCAAATTTCCTTTTTTGTTTCTTATCTTTATTTTTCTACTGTGAACTTGCATTGCTTGCATAAACAATGAAATAATTTTTTTTTTGTCTTTTTGAGATAGGGTCTCACTATGCAGCTCAAGGTGGCCTTGAGCTCATTTTGTAGCCCAGGCTGGCCTCCAACTTGCAAGGATCCTCCTGCCTCAGCCTCCCGAGTGCTCGGATCACAGGCATGTGCCACCATGCCCAGCTCTGAAATAATTATTTTATTTTATTTTTTGGTACCAGGAATCAAACTCGGGACCTTGCACTTGCAAGGTAGGAACTGTGCCGCTGAGCTATATTCCCAGCCCTCTGAAATAATTATTTTAAATAAAAACATTCTTTTCATCATAAAACTAGAAATAGTTATTTAAAAAAATTAAGATTTTCATCATTTAAATTCACTTACCAAGAGATTCTCTCCTGCCACTCCTCTGTTATTAAAAACCACACATCTAAAAAAAAAAAAAAATTGTAAAAATTGAGAAAATAATGTTATTTCTATACATGAAGCTTGTTTATGATGGACTATGAAATGGTCTTCCCGACACGGATCTACAGCATGGAAGGACTTAAACAATCTGACCCACAGCCCTGACAATGTCCAACAACCTCATGTATGTGCACTAAAAACAATTCCAGTTGCTTAAATTCAACACTGGAATTTAAATCAGAAAGCTGGATACTGAAGCGAGGGAATTCTTCCGATCAAAGACCCAGAAATGCTATGGCAACAGGGGCCTCTGAGAAGCCTCGGAGCTTGGGCTTCAGGTATGCGCTCCACCCACCCGCTCCGGCACACGGCTGTGTTCAGGAATTGCTCCACTTCCTGAAGCTCCGCACACGGGGAGACCAGAATTTCAGCCCGGAGGGAGGAGGGGCCCTACTGTGCCCGCCGCTCCCAGTCGAGGCGACCCGGGGCGACCCGAGGGTCACGGGTGCTTTTCGCCATCTTGTTTGCATCTCCTGGGCAAAGGTGCGATCTAAAGGCTTCGATCAACGCGAGTCCGATGTCTGCAGCGATGGCGGTAGTGGCCTCGAAGTGGCTCGGAAGGGTTATCCCGCGCGCCGCGACGTTCAGCTCTCGGTAACGTTCCGGCCGCCCTCACCCTTCCTGTGCACTGTGCCATTCTCGGGCACACTCCCACCTCGGGTTTAGAAAGGCTCTCACTGATCTCCCGAGTGTTTGCTGATGTCAGTTGGTGTTCAGTTTACTCTCCGCTGTTTACTTATCCGATCAGTCAGGATTTCAGGACTCAGATTCTCTGTGTGCAGGGGGCTGCTGACCATGGTGCGGGTCCAGAGGACCAATGAGCTCGCCGCCCTGTACAGCTGGCTGCTCCGACCTCTCTCCCGACTTGGGTTTCACGGCCTGACACACCTGGCAATGTGTACTCAGGATGTGTTTTTGTAAAGCAATTCTTTCTTGTGTCTGAAATGCCATAGAGAGAAAAAAAAGGTTTTTTTGAAGTGGAGTCTTACTATGTAGCTGAGGATGGCCTCAAACTTGTGATCCTTCTGTCTCAGCCTCCCAAGTGTTAGCAGTCTAGGATGCTAGGATCCTTGGCCCATATAGAGAATCTTTATTATCTAGCTAAAAGAAGTGCTAAAAAAAAAAAAAAAAAATCTCAAGATACGATTTTCAGAAAAATCTAGAACTGGGTGTGGTGGTGCATGCCTGTAATCCCAGCACTTAGGAGGCTGAGGCAGGAGGATCACTGTGAGTTCAAGGCCAGCCTGGGCTACATAGCAAGATCCTGTCTCAAAAAAGAAAGCAAGAAAGAAAAATCTAGAAATATGATACTTTATTGAGTCACTTATGAGACTTTTTCATGCTGAAACTATATGCATGGTACGGGGGACTGAACTAGGCAAGCCCTCAACCACTGAGTGACACCCCTAACCTTTTTTAAAAATTTGAGACAGTTTGGCGAAGTTGCCCAAGCTGGGCTAAAACGTGTGATCCTCCTGCCTCAGCCTCTAGAGAGTAGCTGGAACTATAGGTGCACGCCACCCAATCCAGCTGAAGTTACTCTTCAATTTTTCTTCTGCTAAAAAGAGTGACAAGATAGCCTAGATATTAATAAAATTTAACGTAGTCACCTATATTCCCCTGCATAAATGTCGGAGTCACACAGGAATCGGGCCCCAGGGAGTTGAGGCATTGAACCCCAGCTCCTCCTGAGGTAAGAAGCACTTTTAGGGCACAAACAAAAGTAAGGGCCGAAACGGCTTCCGGAGCAGGAGGTTATGGTGTGACTGCCCTGAGAGAAGGCAACAGAGCGAGGAGGGTAAAAGGTAAAGGCGATCCATCCGCAAGATCGTGAAAAGCGGCTCAGACACCTGGGATTCTCCAAGCCGCAGCCTGGGGCTCGGTGCTTCCTTCACGCCACTCTGAGAAGTGGATCCGCGCTGTGGCGCCCCTTGCTTGCGGAGGCAGTGGCCTGCCCTGGTCTCTCTAGGTGCTGTTCCTGACAGCGTCCCAGCCCAGCGGTCACCATGGCACCCACCCGGCGCATGCGCAGAGGGTAACAGCAAGCTGTCTGTTCCCCTGACGGGCACCACGACACAGACCTAAAGGCCTGCTCCTAAGCCACTGATGACCCTCGGTCAGTGCATGGAATAGCCCGCTCCAAACAATTCCACGGCCATCCAAGGGCCTCGAAGGGTGCGCAGATGAGGAAAGTCGGTCTGGAAAACTGTTTTCCCCTCTACGTATTTTAGCTATTTAAATTTTCTTTCTTTTTTTTTTTTTTTTTTGATACCAGGAATCAAACTCAGGACCTTGCACTTGCCAGGCAGACGCTTGTGCCGCCAAGCTATATCCCCAGCCCTAAATTTTCTAACCAAAATAAAGTAGAAATAAAGACAACAAATATCAAAGAGTAAACCTGGTATGAAGAACTTTCTAGAACAACAGAAGTTTTTAGTCAGATACTATGGTTTGGTTTGGTTTTGCTTTTTGGTACTGGGGATCAAACTCAGGACCTCATGCTTGCCAGGCAGGCACTTATGCCACTGAGCTATATCCCCGGTCTGATACTATGGCTTTGAGATGGTTTGAGTATGACCCCTAAGGTTTCACGTGCTGAAATTTAATCCCTATTGTGAGGTAGGAAGAGGCTAGAAACTTAGTTCCATTGCCTTATTTACTTATTTTTTGTAGCCCAGGCTGCCCTTGAACTCATGGGGATCCTCCTGCCTCAGCCTCCTGAGCGCTGGGGTTTTAGGTACGTGCCACCACCGCCTGGCTCCATCCCCGTTTAGAGTTGGGACCTCTGGGAGGTGATGAGGATTGCACAGGGCGGGGCTTCCATCCTTGAACACTGCCGGCTATCTGAGAGGGGATGGGCTGGGGTGCAGCTCAGTGGCAGAACGTTTCCAGCAGGAGCGAGGTACTGGGTCCTGTCCAGGGCACGGTACGGCTGAGATAGGAACCATGACATACGAGCCCACGCCCCCATCTCTTCCTCTTTGCTCTGTGCCCAGCCTCAGATACTGCATTACAGGAATGCAAAACAGGGCGGGTGCTAAATGAAGGGCTGAAGGCTGGAGTCAAGAGCTCCTCCTTCTCCAGCCCTGCTGACAGTGCAGACCGCGTACCCTTGCATTCGGGCCGTCCTTCGCACCCCTGGGTGTCCCGCAGCATCTCTGGCCTCTGCCTACCCCAGCGTGGCGAGAAGAACTGCGCTGCTGAGATGGAGCGGAGCCCCGGGAACACAGGTGGGCTTTCCTATGACACTCGGGCACAGACGGAGCCCCGCACCAGGAGGAGCACGGAGGGAGGAGGGCAGGACGCTTCTCCAGGCCTCACTTCCAGATCTCTGCAATGGGGGGTTTTAGTGGGGTGCGATGGCACCCAAGTGGTATCAGCAGCCGGGAGGCCGAGGCAGGAGGATTGCTAGCCTGGGCTATATAGCAAGACCCTGTCTCAAAAAGACTAAAAGAATTAAATAAGTAAAATATATATGGGGACTTTATCAGATAATCTGAAATATTTTCCAGTTTTAGGTTTCCCCAAGGGTTTGAGTTTAACGATAGAAATAATCAGAAAAGGGAGCGTTCAGGCTCAGCTATTCATACTACTCTGAATTCAGATAATAGTAAGAACATAACGTTTGCTTCTGTTCGCGACAGGCCAGCGCGTGTTGTAAGCCCTTCCTCTGGCTATCGTATTCGAACGGCCTGTTCATTCGGAACCTCACTAACCAGAACGTTCACTGAACTGTGGGAAAGAAGGAACCCAAGAACACAGGTTCCCAGGCCCGGGACGGCACCATCTGGTTGGTGGAAAAGCTACGCAACGTGTTTTCAGCTGAGTGACTGTCACCAGTGGAGTGGGACTCGATGTCCCCTGAGCGGTGTGGACGGCGAAGCCGTTTGGGTCAGGATGGGAAAGGAGCTAAGTCTTCTGTGGAGACTTGAGAACCGTGAGGCTCTGGGCAGCAGGGAAATGCGGGAGGCTCCAGGAGGGTGACGATGCGGGCAAAGGGAAGAGTATGCAAAATGTTTAAGGGGCGAAAACAAAGGTCCCCTTAGTTGAGAAGCGGCTCCACAGCAAGCATTAACAAGCCAGACAGGGAGGATCGGGCCATCGGGCATCGGGACAAGGAGGCGCTGCCTCAGGCAGGTTGGGTGGGTGCTGTAGGCCGGCCTTCTGCGGAGGAGCCGTGGTGAACTCTTGACCAAACAGAAAGGCAGCAGAGAGCCGCAAAGGTGGCAGGCAGAAACCGCACACCTAGCAACGAGGAAGAGGAAATGGCATGGATTCTGTGCTTTTATAGCTTTCTGTTTTGGTTTAGGTTTTGGGTTTTCTTTGGGTGGGAGCGTCTCATTGTGCGGTTCAGGCCGGCCTTGAACTCACTATGTAGCCCGGCCTGGCCTTGAATTCATGGTGATGCCCTGCCTCAGCCTCCTGAGAGCTGGATTCCAGGCATGTGCCACCACGCCCGGCATGTTTTTATTTTTCTTGACTGAGGAGGGAGGCAGTAGTTGGTTTTACTCATTTTTTGATAAAAAGCCCATAAAAATGTTTAGTGTTACAGGCAGGCATATCCCCCCACCTTTTTCTTTTGTTTTTTGAAAGTGTCATCTTACGGCAGCCCAGGCTGGCCTGGAACTCATAGTCCTCCTGCATCGGCCTCCCAAGGGCTGGGGTTACAAGCACACACCCATGACACACGGGCACAGACGGAGCCCCTGGCGTTTCCTGGCGTTGGGGATCCATCCGAGGAGGCAAGCGCTCTGCTCCTGAGCTCTGTCCCAGCCTCAGTCTTGGAGGCCTGACGAGTGAGAGAGCAGAGGTCGCGGCAAGGGTCCAGAAAGAGGACACAGAAGAGCCCTAAATTCTGGGTAACCACCGGTCCCTGACTGGGGTGAGGCTCCCAACTGCACATGTCCGCACAGACTCCATGTGGCCTAAGTAAGGCAAAAAACACAGTGGTTTTGAAGGTTA